TATTTTATAATAAGTAATTGATTAAGACCTTAATTTGGCTCTGCAGTGGTTAAGCACTCAGTTGCTAACTGAAAGGTCAGTGGTTTGAACCCAATTACAGCCTTGGAAAGTAGATGGGGCAGGTTCTACTCTTCCTTATAGGGTCAACATTAGTTAGAATCAACACAGGACAATTGGGGTTGGTTCTTTTGATGTCATAGAATAAAGAGGGGGAATATATTTATACACATATAATCCCATATGGGTAGTGCAGAGGTTCCATAGGATAAGCACTGGACTATGAACCACAAGGTCAGCAGCTCAAGCCCACCAGCTACTCCATGGGAGAAAGATGAGGTTTTCTGCTTCCACAAAGATTTACAAGCCTCTGAAACTCTATACAGGGACACTATGAGTCAGAGCCTACTCGACAACACTTAATAGCAACAAAAATCATTATATGCATATATAAGATTAAAAAAAAAAAAAAAAAAAAGCCCTTGAACCACTGCCAAGGAGTCCATTCCAACTCATAGTAACTCTATATAAGGTTTCCAAACTATAAATTTTTGTGGAAGTAGACAGAGTCATCTTGCTACCACAGAGCAACTCATCAGTTTGAACTGCTGACTTTATAGTCTACAGCACAACCAGGCCTTTTTATAATACCGCCTATGTGTTCATGTATTTATGTAGATAGACACTTGGTGTGGTGCTATAGGATAAGCACTGGGCTTCTAACCACAAGGTCAGTGGTTCCAGTTCACCTTGGAAACCCTATTCAGGGTCACTGTGACTTGGAACTGACTTAATATGCCTTTAATCACAAGGCATGGTAGCATTTAAAGATGTCCAATGACATCCTCTTTATTCCAGACATACTCTTCTCTACCTCTGTAATAAAATCAGTGTGAATCCCTCTTAATAATCAGGGCAGTCATTATGGTAACTAACATTCTTTGCCGGTTGATCTAGAGGCAAGAGGATCCCAAATTGGCCAGGTGGCATTCATAATTTCTAGTTAAATGGAACCTGTGTTGTGTTGACTGGAGGAAGCATTCCTTCCTTTGGCCTAAACCCACTAGATTAACACAGCATAGGATCATGGGGACAAGAAGCAAAAGTGTTGTCAGTAGGTTATCAGAGTTCATAGTGAAAGATTACCTGCCCATTGGTACCTCTTGATTCCTATACCCATGAATCCTGGCTATGGGAGAAATTGCCCCATTTATTTGGTGCTGGTTTGGAACACAGACAGCCTCTTTGAGAACACTGACCCAACCCTACACGGCCACTTAGCTAATGCCAAGATATTCCTCATTCCACGTCCTCATCTGAATCCCGCTTGAACCTCTGGCAGTTCCTTGTCAACGTACTGTTACAGTCATTTTTTAATTCTCTTTAGCAAAATTTTACTTGCATGTGATATTAATGATATTGTCCAATAATTTCCAAATTCCATTGGGTCACCTCTCTCTGGAATGGGCACAAATATGGATCTCTTCCAATTAATTGGCCAGGTAGCTGTTTTTTAAATTTCTTGGAACAGATGAGTGAGTGCCTCCAGTGCAGCATCAGTTTGTTGAAAGACTTCAGTTTGTAGTCCATCAATTCCTGGAGCCTTGTTCTTTGCCAAAGCCTACAGTGCATCTTGATCTTCTTCTTTCAGAACTATGGGTGCTTGATCATAGCTACATTGTTGAACATTGGCCATATCTTTGTAATCCAACGACTAAGTGTATTCCTTCCATCTTGGATGCTTTCTGCATCATTCAATATTTTGTCCATGTTTATTTTAGTCAGTTCCAACTCATAGTGACTCTGTACAGGTTTTCTGAGGAGCAGCTGGTGGGTTTGAACTGACAAACTTGTAGTTTGCAGTGTATTGCTGGTCCTACAGCGATGAACCAAGAGTCCATTTTGCCCGTTGAATCCTTCACTATCGCAAGTCAAGGCTTGTGTTATTTATTTAATTTTTATTTATTTATTTATTTTCATTGAGCTTGAGAATGCTGAGCTAGTCCATCCCTTTTGTTTTTCTAATTCCAGGTCTCTGAGCATTTCATTACAATACTTAACTTTGTCTTCTCAAGCTGATCTTTGAAATTTTCTGTTCAGCTCTTTTACCTCCTTTTAACATATAAATATCATACTATTAAGTCTAGAGTCATTGATACTTCTTCTTTAGTAGATCCAATCAGCGTAATGTCATCAATGCAACTGACCACTATGACATCTTGTGAAAGGGAAAGCCAGTCAAGATTCCTATGGAATAAACTATGACATAGGACTGGAGAGTGTGTATACCTTGAGGTAGGACAGTGAGGTCTATTGTGGGCCTTACCAGCTGAAGGCAAAGTACTTCTGCTGATCCTTTAAAACTGGAATCAAGGAAAAGGCATTGACTAGATCAAAAACTACATACCAGGTACCAAATGTATTAATTATCTCTAGCAATGAACCACATCTGGAACAGCAGTTTCAATTGGTGTCACCATCTGGTTAAGTTTATGATAATCTACTGTCATTCTTAAAGGTCAAATAATTGAGTTGAATGGGGATGTGGTGGGGATCACCACACCTGTACACTGCAAGCCCTTCATGGTGGCACTAATCTCTGCAGTCCTTCCAGGAATTCATTATTGCTTTTGATTTACTGTTTTCCTTGGTAGAGGTAGTTCTGTTACAGCATTTCCTCCCAGCTTTTCCTACCATAATAATCCTCATTCCATGTGTCGTTTATTCAATGTGTGGGTTCTGCTTGTTGCTGAGTATGTATGTTTCAATTATGCATTCTCGAACTGGGGAAATCACTATAGGATGGATGCACAGACCCACAGACCCACTGTGAAATGGATCTGAGCTAGGCTCCCTTAAAAACATGATCCCTGTATGCCCCTACTTTGACTGGTGGGCCACAGTGGTATTTTGTGTCTCCTGGAATGAATGTCAGTTCAATCAGTGTCCTGCAATCCCCCAAGAGTCTGGTTATTTCTTTCTACCCTGCTGAACAGTCCCTCTGATAAAAGCCCGTAGATCCCCGTGGGAAAGGCTTGAAGAAAGGTTAACTATAAATTTTTGGCATTGTAGTGGGGGTCCTTCCTCAAGGGAATCTAGATTGCTTTCATTCCAGGGCTTATTGGTTTGTAAAATGGCTCAAGTCTGGGACTTGATTGAAGGACCATGGCTCTCTATTCTGGCTTTCAGTTAGTCTGCTATTCACTTCCTGTAGAATGCTTCTACTTGCACACATCAAGTAAATATCTAGTAGATTTCCCAGGTATTTGACTATGAGGGACACACCCTGACTAAGTAGCCAGCACCATATGCCCATCCAAACAGACTATTCTGATTATTGTTTGGATTCTGCTGTCCATTACTATAACCACTTGATCCCTACTATTCAAGAGTCCATTCAGCCCCATTGTAGTAAGGTGTCTTAATTCAGTTGGGGCAGTTCCCACAGGCAAGTCTGACTTACATTAAATAACAATCATAGATGTTTTCAACAATTATGAGGCTCCCTTTACAATTTTGCTAGTCACCATTTTGGTGAAAGTTATATCCTCAGGGCATTTCATAGATGGGTCTGTGGACTCAACCTGATGAACCAACTTTAACATTTTTCTTGTACAATATACCAAAGCAGTTCTAGCACTTTAACTTAATTTATTGTCAGCTACCATTTAATTTATACTTAATTTATACTTCAATGAACCATCCAAATAGACTATTGGATCTTTTTCTAATCTTTAGACAACCTGAAACATTGAATGAAGAATTTGTGGTTAGTGGGCCCAACAAAAAGAAGTATATTTACAGGTCTTGAAGCAAAAAAATGGGTGGTGGGAGTGGATACAGGGACATTCAACACTATCTCACAAGAGTGAGGCATATGCCTCAGGCGATGCCCTATATTAAGTGATATATTAGGTGATAGCTCAGACGAAGACTCTTCAGACTCAACTGGGTTTAATCTCATCAAAATGGAGATGGACGGTATCATAGTTTTACTTTGGAGGGTAGCTTAGCAAAGAAGATTGAAATAATCTCTTCACATGGGAGTAAGCAGGCTGATTTTGTTGGAAGGAGTTTTCCAATAGAATTTACCTACCAATATGTTCCCTATCTCAAGTTTCAGGATCCCATTTCTTCTCAATCATTGTCCTCACTTTAATCTTAGACACCATTTGAGGTTAAGAGTTCAAGTAATACTGGAATTCAGCTGCTCTTATAATAAGATTCTGGGTTTGGTTTTTGGCAATATCAGTTCTATTACTATAAGAAATAAGGCTGTCTTTCAGGCAACATTTAGGTCTTTTATGTGAAGCTTAACCTGTTTCGTTCTGTTGTGTATAGGATTGCTATGAGTCGATACCGACTCGGTGGAACATAACAACAACTGGTGACTCTGAAATTTTGAGCTCATCCTTTGCTGTGACCACTTTGTCTAGAAATCACTCAGAGCCTTGCCTCTCCACAAATATTTGATTCAGTGGCAATATTTTGCCTATTTCTATCACCACCTCATGTCATAGATTAGCAGTGCCTTCTCTACTACTGGATATAGACTTCAGAACCAATTTATCAAATTCATCCTTGACATTTTGCTCCTCTATAACCATTCTCAGTATTAAATGTCTTATGCTGGGTTCTCTAGGGAGCAAAACCAACGATCGCATGTATAAACAGGCACAAGGAGATTTGTTTCAAAGGAGTGGCCCATGCAGTTGTGGAGACTGGCAAATCCTAAATCAGTGGGTTAGTGGCAGCCTGGAGGCTCCTCATGACTCAAATAGTAACAGGGACTGACAAACCCAAAATCTGTAGGTCAGGTAGCAGACTAGTGGCTTATGGGGTTGCTGGAGCTGATGAATCCCAAACCTGCCAGTCAGTCGGTTAACTGCTTGCATTAGATCATACATTGGAGGAGGATTATATAGTACCTGCCAAACCACTGAGATGACCTAGCCAAGTTGACACATACCCTGCACCTTACCAATAATTGTTTCTTTTCACAGCTCACAGCGCGTGCTCAGCTAGGTGCACAATCAGAACAGTTGTTGAAGAAAGGAATGAGCATTCCTGACATGTTGCTAGTGAGCATCATGGTTAATGCTATCAAGTATGTATCACATTTTTTTTTCTTTTTGGTTTCTATTTAACATATCCTTTATCACACTGTGGTGCCTTGAGTTTCTTTCATATAGCTTTTCTATCCAAAGTCTTCTTAATTCTCACCAAGTGAATGGATGTTGTTGGTGTTGTTAAGTGCCATCGCGTCAATTCTGACTCACAGTGACCCTGTACAAGGTTTCTGAGCAGTGGTTTGGTGAGTTTGAACTGCCAACCTTATGGTTCAAACCAACCTTGTGGTCCAGTGCTGTCTTACAGCATCACACAACCATGCAAATAAAGTATGCAGGACTCTAAAGCTGGTATTGGTTCGTTTTACCCTCCAGCTAAGTTTGCAAGAAGCCATCTCAGAAGTAGAGATAGAAGATCCCAGGACCATCAGGAAGGAAAAGTATGAATGAAGTATGATATCCCTACCTAGAGAAATAGCTTTGGCAGAGGTGATAGCAGTAGCGATAGAAGAAGCAGTGGCATATAAAGACAGAGAAGCTTTGGGCTCTAGACCCATGGACTGAGTAAAGCTGAGTTCCTACAGGAAGGAGACTGGCTGGAAGAATACCCCTTTGGGCATTCACAGTTGGCTAAAAGAGCTTTGTAACACTTGCCTGAGCAGAGCAGAGGCCAAGGGGCCACAAAGTTGGAGGCCAAAGGGCTACATAGTTGGAGGCCAGACACAAGAATGAGGTATGCCTGCAGTATGGCATACAAGAGTGTTTCTTGACAGGAGAGCTGCTGTATCCTGAGCTTTATAAATTCTGAATTGTACCTGGTTCACTTCTTTAATAAACCTCATAATCATGAATGTTGTTATGAGTTCAATGTGGACATTGCAATGATTATCAAACCCAGATGTAAAACAGAGAGTGCTGTGGGAGGTATGGTTGGTGTCAGAATAGGACAAAGAAGGCTGGAGAGTGGAAGCATGTCTGACCTCTGCTTCATAGGAATTGCCTTGGACTGATTTTGAGTTTGACTCACTTTCTCCCTTGTGAAGCCAGGGCAAGTTCAGACATGATCCTTACATGGTTTTCGCACAAACAGAGGTGGAAAAGATAATAAAAGATATTTTTATTTTAAACATCTAATAGATAATATGCATTTATATACCATGCAACAAGGTAAAGAAATATTTTGTGATGTGTGTGTCTGTATTTCATTACCACCCTGCACCACTTTGTTGTTGTTGTTGTGTGCCGTGGAGTCAGTTCTGACTCATAGCGACCCTACACAGGGTTTCCGAGGCTATAAATCTTTACAGGAGCAGACCGCCTCATCTTTCTCCCGCAGAACCACTGATAGTTTCGAACTGCTGACCTTGCGGCTCGCAGCCCGACTCGTAACCACTACGCTACCAGAGGTCCACATGGTCAGGTTTCAAGAAGTGGGAACCAACTGGTTGAACCCAGGAATGTGAAGGCTGAACTTTTAGATATAGGCAGTGATAGGACACAAGGCAATGACAAAGCGGAGTATGTACAAGCAAGGAATAACATATATGATAGTATTTCTTGTTGTTGTTAAGTGTCATTGAGTCATTCTGACTCATGGTGATACTGTATAGGGTTTCCAAGGAGTGCTGCTAAGTTTGAACTGCCATACTTGTCATTCAAATGGACCTTGTACTGTATACTATAGCACCAGACCAGGGCTCTTTAGGTGACTTGAAATAAAGGATAAAGTAAAAGAAAAAAACAAATGCTATCATTATGTAAAGGAGCTTTGGTAGCGTAGTGGTTATGAATGGGGCTGTGAACCGCAAGGTCAGTAGTTCAAAACTACCAGCTGTTCCATGAGAGAAAGATGAGGCTTTCTGCTCCTGTAAATATTTACAGCCTTGGAAACCCTGTACAGGGTCGCTATGGGTCGGAACCGACTTGATAGCACTTAACAACAACAACAACATCATTATGTAATTTCCTCATCTCTCCCTTGTAATACAGAACTCGAGTTATGAGAGAAGAGAGAAATTTTTAAAAGCCATAAAGACTATGTTGATCATTGTAATACAGAGATGAGGCTGAGAGGGATGGGAAAAAATAATCGAAAGACTATTGTGGAGGAGTTTAAGAAAATTTCTTGTGGATAAGGAAATAGAACTGAAATAGCTAGTATACATGGGAAATGTTAAGGCTGAGAGAAATGAGTAAGGAGGGTTTTAAAGACCATGCTACATTGTAGAAAACATTAATGTTTTCTTAAGAGACTGCATTAAAGATTTAAGATGTTTCTCAATGACGATGTCTATCTTGCACTGATTGCTCTTGAAATGCAATGCTGCAGAAATCAGGTCACAAGACTGCTGCCCTTCGAGTTGGAAGGGACTTTATTCTAAGACTCATAATATAATATTTCTCAGACTGGTGATGGTGGTGGTTGTGGTATACCGTCGAATTGATTCTGACTATAGGGTATCAGAAGCTATAAATTTTTACAGGAGCAGAAAGCCTCATCTTTCTCCCATATAGTGCCTGGTGGATTCAAATTTCTGATCTCCTGGTTAGCCACCCATTGGGTAACTCATTACGCTACCAGAGTTCCTTTCAGACTGGTATAAAGATTGTTTTAAGCATGAGACTCCATGTTCAAAGAAAAGTATATATTAAAAGCATCATATAGGATGTAGAGCTTTCATTTCATAGGAGGTATAATGTCAAGAACTTCATTATGAGAATGCCATTTCCCTCCTCATTTCCCTGGAAGCACCTCCTGAGGCTTTTCATCAGTTTGAAAGCCTTTGATCTAATTCAGCCCATTCCCTTTTCAGTGAGGAAATGTTGACACAAGGCAGCTCAGTGAAATGCTCTGAGTTACATCTAGTTACTGCATGAACAGAGCCTAAGTGTTCCACCTCCCAGTGGAACTGCCCCTGAAATGGCATCGGAGGCCATGGGCAATGGACGAGGTCATCCAGACCTGGCCATGTACTCAAGGAAAATGTTTTCATTATAGGCCAACAAATCAAAAAATTCATTCTATTCAGAATGCATTACTAAGCTCTGGTTTAATCCAAAGGCAAAAATTCCAATTTTATGTCATTTATATGGCCTGAGGATTAATGCACTGGACTTTAAAGTAAGTTTGAACTGCAAGTTTGGTGGTTGTACATAGAATTGCTCCTCAGAAACCCTGTACAGGGTCGCTATGAGTTGTAACTGACCCGATGGCACTTAACAACAACAAGGGGATAGAAGAGTAAACTTGTGCCCCTTTCACGAGTTTTCAAGTTGGTAAAACAACTGGCACCCTTTGGAGGCCAAGAGCAAGAGCCTGTCTGGAAATAACATAATCACAGCATATACTCATCTGTCAGTTTGTCATAGTCTGGTGGATTTCATGTTGCTGTGATTCTGGAAGCTCTGTCACCAGTATTTTAAATACAAGCAGGGTTACCCAAGATGGACAGGATCCAAAATCACCAGTAGTGATTAGAATGCAAATTCTAATCACCAGTAATTATCAATCCCTCTTAATCATATGTTTGATCAATTTTGAACTGAAGAACTTGGTAGAATTCTTCAATTTTGTCATCACTGCCTTTAGACTGAGGAAGAGCTTTGTCCTCAAAGTAGAGTTGACCATGATGACATGAATGGAGTAAAGCATGTGGGAGTAAAGCCCTCAGGATCTTCATTTTCTGATGGGGCACAACTCAAAATGAAGAGAAACAGTTGTAAACATCCATTAATAATCAGAACATGGAATGAACGAAGTACAAATCTAGGAAAATTAGAAATTGGCTAAAATGATGTGAAATGCATAAACGTCATTATCTTAGGCATTAGTAAGCTGAAATGGACTGGTATAGGCAATTTTGAATCTGACAACCATATGCTTTACTATGCCAGGAATGACAAATTAAAGAGGAATGGTGTTGCATTCATTGTCAAAAAGAACATATCCAGATCAGTCATGAGGTAAAATGCTGTCTGTGATAGGATAATATACATGTGCCTATGGGGAAGACCAGTTAATACCACTATTATTCAACTGTATGCACCAAACACTAAAGCCAATGAGGATGAAATAGGAGAATTCTACCAACTTCTTCAATCTGAAATTGATCAAACATGCAATCAAGATGTATGGATCATTACTAGTTTTATAATGCAAAGGTTGGGAGCAAAGAGGAAGGATCAATAGTTGGAAAATATGGCCTTGGTGATAGAAATGATGTTGGAGATAGCATGATAGAATTCTGCAAAATCAATGATATGTTTATTTCAAATACCTTCTTTAGACAACTTTGTTGTTGTTGTTGTTAAGTACTGTAGAGTCAGTTCCAACTCATAGTGACCCTGTACAGGGTTTCTGAGGCTGTAAATCGTTATGGGAGCAGAAAGCCTCATCTTTCTCCCACAGAACAGCTGGTAGTTTCGAACTGCTGACCTTGTGGTTCGCAGCCTGATTTGTAACCACTACGCTACAAGAGATGACTATACACGTGGACCTCACCAGATGGAATACATAGATATCAAATTGACTACTTCTATGCAAAAACTCCATATCATCCATCAAAACAAAGCCAGGGGCAGATTGTTCACATGCAAATTCAAACTGATGTTGAAGAATATGAAAACAAGTCCATGACAACCAAAATATGACCTTGAATATATCCCACCTGAATTCAGAGATCATCTGAAGAACAGAATCGATACAGTAAACACTAACGTATGAAGACCAGAAGAGCTATGAATGACATCAAGAACATCATACATGAAAAAAGCAAAAACTCATTAAGAAGACAAGAAAAAAGGAAAAGGTCAAAATGTATGTCAGGAGAGACACTGAAACTTGCTTTCTAGCATAGAAATGCTAAAACAAATGGAAGAAATGAGGAGGCACAAGAGCTGAACAGAAAATTTCAAAGGTCAGCTCTAGAAGACAAAGTCAAATACAATATGAAAACAAAATGTGCAAAGATCTGGAGTCAGAAAACCAAAAAGGAAGAACACGATCAGCATTTCTCAATTTGGGAAAACTGAAAATTCAAGTCTTGAATTTCATTATTGAAGGAATCTCTTTGCAAATTATTGAATGATGCAGAAAACATCAAAGAAGATGGAAGGAATACACAGAATCACTGTACCGAAAGGAAAGGGTTGATGTTCAACCATTTCAAGAGGTAGCATATGATCAAGAGCCAATGACATTGAAGGAGGAAGTCCAAGGTACATTGAAGGAATTGGCAAAGAACAAGGCACCAGGCATTGATGGAATAAAAATTGAAATCTTTCAAGAAAGTGAGGTAGCACAGGAGGCACTCACTCATCTATGCCAAGAAATTTGGAAGACAACTATCTGGCTGATTGGAAGAGATCCATATTTGTGCCCATTCCAAAGAGAGATGACCCAATGGATGTGACCCAATGAATGCGGAAATCATTGGACGATATTTTGATATCCCATGCCAGTAAAGTTTCACTAAAGGTAATACAGAATCAGCTGCAAGCATACATTGACAGAGAACTTTAAGAGGTTCAAGCCAAATTCAGAAGAGACTGTAGAAGGAGGGATATCATTGCTGATGTCTGATGGATCTTGGCTGAAAGCAGAGAATATCAGAAAGATGTTTACTTGTCCTTTATTGACTATGCAAAGGCTTTCGATTGTGTGTGTCATGACAAGCTATGGACAACATTACGAAGTATGAGTATTCCGGAACACTTAATTGTGCTCATGAGGAATCTGTGCCTGGACCAAGAGGCAGTTGTTCCAACAGAACATGGGAACACTGAATGGTTTAAAATTAAGAAAGGTGTATGACAGCGTTGTATTCTTTCACCATGCTTAATCAACCTATACGCTATGCAAATAATCTGAGAAACTGGGTTTTATGAAGAGAAACATGGCATCAGGATTGGAGGAAGACTCATTAACAACCTGCGATTTGCAGATGATACAACCTTGCTTGCTGAAAGTGAAGAGGATTTCATCATTTACTGATGAAGATCAAAGAGCACAGCCTTCGCTATGGATTGCATCTCAATATAAAGAAAACAAAATTCCTCACCACTGGACCATAAACAACATTCTTATCAATGGATAAAAGAATGAAGTTGTCAAGGACTTCATTCTTCTTGGATCAACTATCAACATGCATGGAAACAGTAGTCTGAAAACAAACAACATATTGCATTAGGCAAATCTCAAGAACTTTTTAAAGTGTTGAAGAGCAAAGATGTCAGTTTGAGGAATAAGGTGTGCCTAATACAAGCCATGGTATTTTCAATAACCTCATATGCATTCGAAAGCTGGACAGTGAATAAGGAAGATCATAGAAGAATTGATGCTTTTGAGTTATGGTGTTGGAGGATAATATTGAAAATGCTATGGCCTGCCAAAAGAACCAACAGATCTGTGCTGGACGAAGTGCAGCCAGAATGCTCCTTGGAGACCAAGATGGCCAAACTTCGTCTCTCATACTTAGGGCATATTGTCAGGAAGGTACACTTGCTGGAGAAGAATATTATGTTTGGTAAAATGGAAGTCAGAGAAAAAAAGGAAGACCCTCAGCGACATGGATTGGCAATGTGGCAGCATCAATGAGGTCAAGCATAGCAGCAATTGTGAGGTTGGCCCAGAATCTGGCAGTGTTTCGTTCTGTTGTGCATAGGGTCGCTATGAGTCAGCACCAACTCGATGGTACCTAACAACAACTGCAGAATGCAAAGGCTGGGAATAAAGAGGGAGGATCGGTCATTGGAAAATATGGCCTTGGCGATAGAAACAATGCTGGAGATCACATGATATAATTTTGCAATACCATTGTCTTCATTGCACACACTTTTTTAAACAACAAAGGATGATTATACACATGGAACTCACCAGATGTAATATATAGAAATCAAATTGACTACATCTGTGGAAAGAGATGGTAGAAAAACTCCATACCATCAGCCAAAACAAGGCCAGGGACAGACTGTGGAACAGACCATCAATTACTCATATGCAAGTTCAGGCTGAAACAGAAGAAAATTAATACAAGTACACAAGAACCAAAATATGATTTTGAACATATCCCACCCGAATTTAGAGATCATCTGAAGAACTGATTTGATGCATTAGACACTAAAGACCAAAGACCAGTAGAGTTGTAAAACTTGCTCTCTAGCATAGAGATGCTAAAGCAAATTGAAGAGATGAGGTGAAGAGCTAAATAGAAAATTTCAAAGAGCATCTCATGAAGATACAGTCAAATATTATAACAAAGTGTGCAAAGACCTGGAGTTAGAAAACCAAAAGGGAAGAAAAAGCTCAGCAATTCTCAAGCTGAAGGAAATGAAGAAAAAATTCAAGCCTTGACCTGAAATATTAAAGGATTCTATGGGCAAAATATTGAATGATGCAGAGAGTATTAAAACAAGATGGATGGTATACAAAGAGTCACCGTATCAAAAAATGGTCGAAGTTCAACCATTTCAAGAGGACTAACTGTGCTTGACCCAAGTTATGGTATTTTCAATAATCTCATATGCATGTGAAAGTTGGACAATGAATAAGAAAGACCATAGAATAATTGATGCATTTGAGATATGGTGTTAGAAGAGAATATTAAAAGTACCATGGACTGCCAAAAGAACAAACACATAAATAAAAAGCTTCTTGGAAGCCAGACTTAATCTCTCATACTTCAGACATATCATCAGGAGGGACCATTCCCTGGTAAAGTGGAGGGTTGAAGAAAAGAGTAAGATCCCATAGAGATGGATTGGTACAGTGGCACCAGCAATTGCTCAAAAAGAGCAATGAGTGTGAGGTTGGCACATTACTGGGCCATGTTTCGTTCTGTTGGCTCCTAATAACAACAAATCAAAAATAATAACTTTTGTAGCAGTTCTATTCTATAGTAGAGATAAAGATCCCAGATTTATATATATTCTATAGAGACACTTTCAGTAAGCCTGAAACAGGACAAACACAGCAAACTTAATCATCCAGATGCGGGAAACCATCTGTATGCTTACAAATGGAGTTTCCCAATTCACAGCCATGGTTTTCCTATGTACTAGTGAAGCATTGTAGAATAAGCACTGGCCTGTAAGGTCAGTTTGAATCTCAACTTCAGCAATTCAAACTCACCAGTCCCTCCTCGGAAGGAAAGCAATGATTGTGAAATTGACACAGAACCATGCAGTGCTTCCTTCTGTTGTGCATAATGGTGCTATGAGTGGGTACCAACTCGATGGTGCATAACAACAGCAGCAGCATTGGTTCTGGATTTGCTACATGATGATTGGAGTATGACTCATGATCATGAAGTCCAGAGTTATAGCCACTAGGACTCAAACCTTTAACTTAAATTAGATTTGTTGTTTTGGGCAAATCATTAAGGTCAGGAACAGGCAACTTCCACTAGTTCTTTTGTAATCCTGAGGCCAAAACTGCCCCTCCCTGGCCTTTCCCTGGACTTATGGAAGCATAGACACATTGATGGTTTAATGGTCAACAAGGGAAGTAACATCAAGAATTCAAGGGGCATTCTGAACTTCTTTCAAATCTCAAAATGACAGTTGGAATTCCAGTTAGAAACCATAGTCTCCACCAACCAAGTGCTTTAGGGTTTAAACTTTAATGTAGAGGACATGGTGCTGAGTGCACGTGTCCAGGGGGTAATACTCTCCCTTAGCAATTTTTAGCCTAATGGAGAGAAAATTCACTAGAATTTTTATGTCAAGACATCTGAAGTGAGAGTCAGAGAAGTTCATAACAGGCTGGGTGGGCTGGGGAGGAGAACTCTCTAAGCCTGCAGTGTGAATAGCCACCCTGTGCTTCCAGGCACTCTTCTGGGGTTGGTTTATTTGTTTGTTTTAATGTTTTATTGTGAATTATGTGATCGTTTACATGGGAGAACATTAGTTATACATTCATCCTATCATATATTGTCTCATTGCCATGGTTACAATCCCCTCCATGCATCATCAACCAACCAAAGGCTATACACTACAAACCTGCCTCCCCGATCATCAGCACACAGCCCCTCTCCCTCTCTGTGTCTAAAGTCCCTAAGTGCTCCATCTCTCCACGTCATTGCCTCTGCCTCCATCTCAGGCATCACTGCTTCTCTGGGTAGGGTCCCGCTCTCTGCTCTTCTCCCTTGATGGTCCCAGGGACCTCTGCTCCTAAGCTGAAAAGTTAATCACTCACCCTGCTGGGTTTTTAAAAGGTACAATCTCAGTTCATCCTCACAGCTCTACCCTGTGAAGTATGTTATGATATCCCATTGGATAGATGAAGAAACTGAGGTTCAAAGGAGGAAAAGCTTATGGACAAAATCTAGAAGTATAGGAATGGGAAGACCAAATAGTTCAAAGTTATGGCCAGTTGGTCTTAATGTTGTTGTTGTTAAGTGTCATTGAGTTAATTCTGACTCATAAGAACCCAGTGTAGGGTTTCCAAGGTTTGAACTGCCTACCTTGTGGTTCACAGTCCAGGGCTGATCCTATTCTGCCACAGTATGTTAAAATTGAAATGGATTTGGTGAGCAGCAAGAACCCACTGAAGAATTTAAACAAGGGAGTGGCTGTGGTTCATGAGTAAACTTAATCTGTAAAGTAATACAATTCATGCAATAAGTTACTGTGGAATTGAAAGATATGGATGAGATTCTTTGTATTATTGTGGCAAAAGTACTTCTGTCTATGCTGAGTCTGTTCTGTTTCAATTTAGTCAGGTACCTGTAGATCAAGGCTGGATCCTGGATGGTTTTCCAATGACATTAAACCAAGCAAAGCTTCTTGAGGAAGCTCTGACAGGATACAACAAAGAACAAATGGACTTGGAAGCAAAGAGAACACAAATATCCACATTGGCTGTTGATCCTACAGTTTCCAAAGAAGTACCTATTCCCCCTTCAGCACTTGATTTTGCCATGTTGTTAGACATTTCAGATACTTCTACACTGAGGCGGATAAACAGCATCATGGGTAAGCCGAATACTCTTATTTTCATTACACTTTTAGATCTAGTTGAAGACTGTTATTTGGCTGAGTCAGTAAACATTCACATTCTTAAAAGTCAGCAGTAAAGAATCCCTCTTTGCCTCTTAAAGAATCATCTTACTGAGCACAATTCTACAATTCTATCCTGTTTGTTCTTGTTATTTTGTTGTTGTTGTAAATATACACAGCAAAACATGCACCAATTCAACAATTTCTGCTTGTGTAGTTCAGTGACATATATTTCTGCTCTCATCTTTATTATTTCCTTTTTTCTGTTGACTGTAGGTTTACTTTGCTGGTCTGTTTCTAGTTGTTGGAGATGTTGTGCTGATCTTTCTTCTTTATAGATTTGTGCATTTATTGAAATAAACTGTCCTCTCAGCACTTCTTTTGCCATGTCCCAAAGATTATGGTATGTTGTGTTTTTATTCTCATTTGTTTCTAGGAGATTTGTGAATTCATGTTTTATTTTTCTACTACCCAGTCACTGTACATCATGGTGTTATTCAGTTTCCATGTATTTGACTTTATTTCCTTGGTCTTCCTAGTGTTGATTTCTAATTTTATAGTATTGTGGTCTGAGAAAATGCTTTGTAATATTTTGATGCTTGTCAATTTTTTGGAGGCATATTTTATGGCCTAACACATGGTCTATTCTTGAGAATGTTCCATGTGTACTGCAAACGAATGTGTATTGTGCTGTTGTTGGGTTGAGTGTTCTGTACACATCTATGAGGGTCTAGTTGGCTGATTGTGTTGTTTAATTCCTCTGTGTTTGTCAAGTTTCTTTCTGGTTGTTCTATCCATTTTTGAAAGTGGTATATTAAAATCGCCCACTAGTATTGTAGATTTGTCTATTTCTTTCTTCAAATCTATTAGAGTTTGCTTTATATACTTTGATGTTAGGGAAATTTTCTGCCAGCAACTCTTCAATTATTTTTTCTGTGGACTTGTGTCATTCTTCCTGTTCCGGAATGCCAATAATTCTTAAGTTTTTCCTCTTCATGTTGTCCAATATGAATCTTAGACCTTTTTCAGACTTTTTTATCCTTTTTTTCTGCTTGCTCTTCTATCTTAGTAGTATTGAGAGATTTGTCTTCCAGATCAGTAGTTCTGGCTTCCATCTCTTCAGTTCTACTCCTTTGCCCTTTCAGTGTATTGTCCATTTCTGGTATTCTATTATTAATAATTTGGACCTCTTTCTGTAGTTTTTGAATTGTTTCTAATGCTGTATCTTAATTGATTATTCCTGTAGCACTTTTCTGACTTCTTCCTTATTTTTCTCAACTCTTTTGTAAAGTGTTTTGATACATTTCATGATCATATTTCGGAACTCCTTCTCAGGCATTTCCAAAGCCTGCCCTCCTTCTGATATGGAGTATAGGTCTACCTCCAGATCATTTGTCTCAGGCACTTTATCCTGGACATGTCCAGAGATGATCATCTGTTTCTTGAGCATATTCAGTAGTTAGCTGTGACCTTAACACTTAGATGACTGTATGTTGTTATTTTATTATGCTTTCTGATTGCCTCCAGGTAGATGTGATCAGGATATGTGCTTCCCTTTTCACTCATCTTATTGCTCAACTCAGATTAACTGTCGCAGGTGTTGGCTGCCTACCTGGTGTATGGCAGCTGATATTGGTCCCTACCTAGATGGAGGGATTTTATAGGGTGTGATTTTAGCTTGACTGTATGACCGCAATTGCTGTCTCTTCTTGGGTAATGTAGGGAGAGAAAGAGCCCTGTAAAGGTAAAGAGCGGACCAAAAAACAAAACAGCAACAGCAAAAGTACAGATTAGATATTGTAGTCTATAATTGCAGAAAAAAGAAAAAGAGGGGAAAAAAATTTTTTGTAGCCAAATATGAGTATGACTTTAATGTCCCTCTGTCAGCTTCTTGACTTCAAGACCACCTAAGAAATTTCAATATGCCACTGCTGGTTGTTATGACATAACTTAGGATTTCATTTTCAGCCTTTTTCCTTTTAATCTGTGTCTCTCCCACTCCCCAACCCCCATTCAGGCCTTTTTCCTAGTGATAAACAGTTCAGGGCCGGCTGTGCCATTTTGTGTTGCCGTGTGGTTTTTCAGTGGGACTTTTCCCTTGAAATTCTGAGCAGATCTGTACACATGTGTAATAGAACCCTTGGGGATGGGGGGGTGAGTGTCCACTCACTCAGGCATCCCCTCTAGTCACCAGAATGGAGGTGTGCAGACAGCAAGAGACCAATAAACAATTTAAAAAGAAAGAAAGAATGTCTATACCTTTATCTCTGATCAGCTCTGATCCCCCACCCCTACCCCCTGCCCATGCTCCATGTCACCCAAGATGGCTGCTCAGGAAGCCACTGAGACTGTTAGATTCCCAAAAGCACTAGATTTCTTGCTTCTACTACAAATTCAACTGCTGTAAGTCTTCAAACTTTCTAAATATTACTTTATATGTAGTTCAGAGTTATGGGACCATCCCCTGAACCTGCTTCTTCCTGAATTCTGTGTTATCACTGCACTTCTCCCTGATCTGCCATCAAACCTCTCCTTCCATCTATGCTATTTTGATTTACATTGTTCAGCACTGCAGGCCAAACCTGGATTGGCAGAGAATTTTGCACCAAATGTTTCAATTCATAGCGACGCTAGGTACTTCAAAGCAAAACATTGCCAGCATCCTGAGTCATTCTCACAATTGTTGCTATATTTTATCCCATTATTTGGCCACTGTGTTAATCTACTGTTACTGTGGTTGTTAAATGCTGTTGCATCATTTCTGACTCATAGCAACCCTGTGTGCAACATAAAGAAACATCTCCTGGTCCTGGGCCATCCTCACAATTGCTGTTACACTTGAGCCGATTGTTGTTGCCACTGTTCCAATCAATCTCTTCTTCTGTGTCCCTCCACTTTACCCCAAATGATGTCCATCTCCATGGACTGGTCCCTCCTGATAATATGTCTGAAATATGAAAGACGAAATCTGGTCATCCTGGTTTCTAAGGAGCATTCTGGTTGTTCTTTAAACAAGTCTTCCTCTTTTTCCCTGAGTCTCTACTTTACCAAGTTTGATGTTTTTCTCCAGGGACTGTTCCCTCCTGATAACATGCCAAAAGTACATGAAATGAAATCTCACCCTCCTCATTTCTAAGGAGCATTCTGGCTGTTCTTGTAATTATTCCAGGACATACTTGTTCATTCTCTGCAAATCCAGTGTATAATCAATATTCTTTACTAACATCGTACTTCAAAGACATCAATTTTCCTTCTTCAGTCTTTATTTATTATCCATGATCTGTATGCATATGAGGCAATTGAAAATACCATGACTTGGGTCAGGAGCACTTTAGTTCTCAAAAGGACATCTTTGCTCTTGAACACTTTAGTCTTTTTTATCAGATATACTCAAGGCAATGCATTCAATTTTTTCACTGCTACATCTATGATGTCTATGGATAGTTTTTCATTTGTTAACAGATTCACTTCAGCATTCCTTATTGTTACTGTTTCTATTATCCAGATTCTCATTTGAGCTTTTTGTAACATCTTACTGATTCCTTATTAACTGAAGAGCTAAGCAACACCTTTAATGTATTCATTTATGTATAAGGGATTCATGATTTTACCTTTAAAAATGAAATTATCGTTTTTAAAATGACAGCATTATTTTATTATTTCTGTTACTATTGCTAATAGTAATACAAAAACAGCAAGAGCTCAGAAAGACATAAGGGATCATTTAGTCCAACCCTTTACTTAAAGATGAGGATTTAAAGCATGAACACTTGATCTTGTGAAGGGCATACTCATCTGTATTTTGAGTTTTTGTAATTTTGAGATCTTCCTTTCATTTTTTTTCAAATAGAATGACAAAATCACTAGATATTATGTAAGCTGTTGAACCCAGTTGGTTCAACTAGATGCTATCAATCAAATCACAAAGGAGGACTTTATTTATCTCCAAACAAGGAGGCAACAATGCTGACACTGCTGATGATTCTGCTTATTCAGTCAATCTCCCCACACCTGCTCAGGTTATACCTGAGGGTTGGCTGAGAACACTGTCAATCTGTGGCCATCTGGTAGCAGAACAGGGCCTTGAATGTCAAGACTAATTTGACTTTAAGTGGCTATGACAAGTTAGTATAAACTGTGGGTATGAGGTTCCTTGAAAATGGTTGTTAGAACCTTCAAAGGGCCTCAAAGGTAGGTTGCCCTACTTGGGACTCTGTATAAAGAATTGTACAGCATGATTCACAAATGGAAGGAAATAAATTCACAACGTATTTTAGGAAATCTAACTCAATCCAGTTTGAGTTCTCTCAAATATCTATCAAAATTACATGAGGAATGATTCTGGCAAATGTGATAAAGCTGATGTTATCATCTAAACAAATGTTGGAACAAATACATAAGCACTCATCTGCTAATCAAAGGGTTGATGTTATAAAACACATGCAGCAAATCCACCTGAGAAATTCCTAGTAGTCTGCTTCCATAAAGATTGTTGTTGTGATTGTTAGGTGCTGTGGTTCCAACTCATAGCAACTTTATACACAACAGACAAAACACTGCCCAACCCAGCACCATCCTCACATTTGTTGTTAAGCTTGAGCCCACTACTGCTGCCACTGTGCCAATCCATCTCATTGAGGGTCTTCCTCTTTTTGGCTAATCCTCTACTTTACCAAGCATGATGTCTTTTTTCAGGGATTGGTCCCTCCTGATAATATGTCTAAACTATGAGAGACAAAGTCTTTCCATCTTGGATTCTAAGGAGCACTCTAATTGTATTTCTTCTGACACAGATTTGTTTGTTCTTCTGGCAGTCCATATTCTAATATTTCCTGCAACACCTTAACTTAAATGCATTAATTCTTCTACTATCTTCCTTATTCACTGCCAAACTTTCATATGCACATGAGGCTATTAAAATACCATGGCTTACATTTTAGGCCACAAAACAAATCTACATAAATTTACAAATTCAA